TCCTTCTGCTGCAGCCTCTCAGTCTGGATTCAGATCTGAAGAGAGGAACAGTGTCTTGATAAAGGGGGAATTATGTGACCTAACACTTATGCATCAAATACAACAAATATATCGCAGCATAAGCGTTTTTTTTGCAAACAAATCTACATACATTTAAGTATATTTAAACCACAACTTTGCTTCCCTTCTGCAAAAGTCAAAAGTGGCTCTTTCGAGAGTTATTGCCCTTAATATGTTGTATGTATAATGTATGTAATGCCACGACTAATCTCCTAATCCTCATGTTGATTTAAATATGAACGTAATAACGAGATATATGATTACTGTAACAAGCCCGAATAAACCGACAGTGGAGAAAGTGAGAGGAGAGAGAGGATTACTCGTTTCCAACGCCCTCCATCGGCAGCGACATCTCCCTCCCTCTCTCTCTCTCCCCCCCTCTCTCTCGCTTTCTCTCCCTCCTCATCCCGTTGCTGCTGCCGCGCGCCCGTTCGTCTCGCTCACACCGCTTCCTAGGCTCGTGGAGAGAGGACGGATAAACGGCGCTGACTGAACCGGATTTCATACCCGGAGGAGGGAGGGATGCTACGGTGATTTCCCTTTTTATTCTCCTGACAACCACCTCTATCACCACCACTCCTCTCCATCACTTCAGTATTGGAACCTTATCAAGAAGACTGTCTGTCATCTTTTTTTAATTTCATCTTGCTTGATTGGTAAGGGGATTTGTCTGCCTCTGCGCTCCAGCGGATAAGAAAAAAGGACATTTTGGGTTTGTTTTGTTCTCCTCCGAGCGCACACTCCTAACAGAACAAACTGGGGTTCCCATCAGTGGATGTGTTGGACATCTGATAGAAGAAGCAGTACTTGTTGAGAGATCGGCTTGTATGTATTGGGGGGGATTTCCTTGGAGAGACGGACGGCTGCGCACGGACTCTCTCACTTCCAAAGGTAAGGCTTAAGTTAAATAATTCTGCATCCACACAATCCCATTCATCCCCTTCATTTCTGCGGAGGCTTTTTAATGAGCGTAAAAACCGGAGAGGGAGACCGGAGTGAGGGCTCTCGGTTCCCGGTATGCTGGTTCGAGTCTGGATTGGTCCAGACGCAGGATTGTCACACATCAATTACACATTAAAATGTCACCATGGACGTTTATGTGTGAGATAGGCTACTAAGGAATATCACCACAGAGTGTTTGCGCATTAGAGGTAAAGTGAGAGTGTGTTTGCTCTGCTGCCGAAACAGAGCTCACTTTCTTCAGTGGATGACGGTTGGATTGGTGCGTTTTATTCACACACTGTATTTATTCACATTTCCAGCGCAGTGTGTTTCTGAGTGCGTTTTTTTCGCTCGTTTGGTGTGTCCTTGCGCGTCTGCGAGAGTGCATATAGTTGTGTGTGTGTGTGTGTGTGTGTGTGTGTGTGTGTGTGTGTGTGTGTGTGTGTGTGTGTGTGTGTGTGTGTGTGTGTGTGTGTGTGTGTGTGTGTGTGTGTGTGTCTGGCCACGTATAAAGGCAGATCTCCGTGTGCAGCCTCTCTTTTCGCTGCCTCCCGGAGCCTCTGCGTAACGGCGACGCACAACTTTTATTTGGATCACCGTTTACATGGGCTGGATGTGGACCAAATCACATCATTCATAAAGGAGAGAAACCACTCAATCACTTGAAAAATTCAAACGAGGCATACTTTTCTTGGAGTGGCAGCTATTTTACTGTCTCGTCCTCTTTTATCCAAACTCATCTCCTGAGTATTTCTCAGTTTAAATAACCAACTCTATCCTCTCTCATCGTCATTTCCTCACAGACACCTCTTTGCACGGCTCATTATCTCTGTGTGGAATCAAGCTCTTGAAATGAGAATCCCTAAAGATCCCATATGGTTAGTATTCAGTCCATTTTAATACTTTAGCCAGAGCCTCGTCCTTGCTCTCTCCATGTGGTGAAAGTGCATAAAATTGCTTAGATATCATTGTGCCCGTAGGGTCATTTCAGACACACTCTGCATTCAATTATGTCCGCGCGCTTTGCTCCGCGTGCCTGCAGGGCCACAGTATAGATCAGCCTTTAATTGTTGCGCATGCATATACCATTGAAATCTTGGTGCTGCTGGTTGCTATATGATAAATTATGGATGGACTGGGCACCGAGCTGCTGATGAGTCGGTTTCGGTGAGTGAGATATCGGGGTATAATTTGGGCAGCTGCAATTCCGCTGCGTTTTCAGGGAGAGGCGGTCTGGAGTCTTTGGTATTCATGGCACAGCTCAAGATTGCTGCTCTGAAGCAATAATCTATCTCCCTCTGCACCTCTCTC